CTGGGGAGCTGTGTGAGGAGACTGCGCCGGGACCCGGCTCATCTGGGGAGCTGTGTGAGGAGACTGCGCCGGGACCCGGCTCATCTGGGGAGCTGCACTGAGAGGCCTGAGGGGCTCTCGGCCACCCCCAGCCTCGCCTTGAGTCACCACCCAAAGGATGCCCCTCTTCCTGCAGGGACCCCGTTCTCATTGCTGGACTGTAAGAGCTGCTGCCGTTTGAAGGTTAGGAGCGCTCTCAGAGTTCTGGGGCGCCCCTCTACACAACAGTGTGACCCGGTGTTCAACAGAGGGCTAGAGGGGCGGCCATCACCAATGAAAGAGGCTCAAGAGAGGTGACAACCAGATGCTGTGCGTGGCCAAAACCAGGAGTGAAGGTGCTGCTGGCGACGGGGAAGAAATGTCACAGGTACCGGGTGTGGGCGAGGTTCAGGAGCGTCGCACCCGTGCTCTGGGGAGTTAAGGATACTGAGGGGACGTTGTTAAGCCCGTATTTGATGTGTGTGTGTGTGGACGTGTGTGTGTGTGGACATGTGTGTGTATATATGTTTTTTTTGTGGGTGTGCGTGAGGAAGATCAGCCCTGAGCTAACATCCATGCCAATCCTCCTCCTTTTTTTTTTCCCCCCAAAGCCCCAGTAGATAGTTGTATGTCATAGCTGCACATCCTTCTAGTTGCTGCATGTGGGACGTGGCCTCAGCATGGCAGGAGAAGCGGTGCGTGGTGCGCCTGGGATCCAAACCCGGACCGCCAGTAGCAGAGCACGCACACTTAACCGCTAAGCCACGGGGCCGGCCCCTGTATACATGTTTTTAATGGAAACCGACACTGTTGAACTCTTCTGAGCCCCGTGATGCTGGAAACACCCCCACCCCCACTTTGTGTTGTGGAAAACAGCTCACCACAGAGAACACTCGCTCTGCCGCCTGTGACTTAGATGAGACCCAGGGCCCCTGTTTATCTGACATGCCAGACACAGCCCCTCCACAGTCCCTTCTTGGCCTCATTGGTGCTGAGCCGGACGGTCGTCCCCACCAACCAGTCAGAACAGACTCCTTGTCCAGCACACTTTGGTTTGGCTTCTCTCCTCCCCTGGCCCCTCAGCACGAGCCAGCAGAGCCCCCACCGGCCTGGGTGCACCTGCTCTGTCTGCCGTCCTGTCCCCGTCTCCACACCTGGCTCCTCCTCACCTGGTTTTCTCCTCTGGTTAAAGAAAACCTCTTTGGGCCTGGGTCTTGAGAAGTTTCCAGACCCGATGGTCAGAATTCTCACTATGGCAATAGTTCCCCCCCAACACCTGCAATCATCCTTTCGAATAAAGTACTTAGTCCAGATTTATTCTTTATTTGACAAAGAAGAGTATTTGTGGGTGTAGTGATGTGAAGCCTGCAGTCGGCCTTGAAAGTGCTCCAGCGAGGGAAACCAGGGCGAGGGTAGGTGGAGAAAAGGCAGAATCACAGAAGATGGGTATTGGGTACATGGAGGGATTTTTCTGTCTGTCTGAAAATTCCCGTAATAAGTTATTTAAAGGTAAAGGAGCGATGCCCTCCCCCACTGGGCTGGAGGGGCCGGCAACTCAAGGTCCTTAGAGCTGACCCACTGCCTCGAGCCCCATGGGGACTTTGGCCCCCAGCCAACCCACTGTGCGCCTGCGCCCCACGCCTGGGGCTGGGCCAGCACCCAGCCTTGCGGCCTGTTGGGACTGTGGGGATTTATGTGCACAGAACATACCCCTCCTGCCAGAGGGTCCTTAGAGGCAATCTGCTCCGCCCTCCCCAGAAAGCAGGGACACATGCAGAGGTTATTAGTAAGGGATTAAGGAGCTGGGTGGGGACACAAGCATGACCGATGTGGGGAGACTATTATGAGGTTCCAGTGACCCCACAAGATGCCCACCTCCTGAATCAGAGGGGGCGCCCACCTGGAGCACCTGTGGGAGGCCTAGCTCTGAAGGGGTGTCATCAAACAACAGCCGTTCCTTCCCCTCCTGCCCTGTCTTTGCCTTGTAGGTCCCGGCTGGGGCACTCGAGTGAAATTGTTGTGCAGGGACCACAGGCGACAACCGTAACTGTCCCAGGAACACCAGGCCATGTGGTCGCCCTGCGTGGGCCTTTCTCTTGGGGAAGGCCACCCACCCCAAGACTGCCGTGGGTGAGCGCTTGGGGCCTTGGGGCCGTGTGGGTGCCAGCCTCGGCTCCCCCGTTCCTGGGTGTGTGACCTGGCCGGGTCCTGTCCCCTCTCGCACAGGACTCAGGGAGACTGAGGGCCTGGCCTGGCGTTCAGACTGTGCTCGGTGAACGCCGGTGTTCTGTGTTCCTGTGGGGACCCTCCCAGACTTAGGTGCCTCAGGCGACTGTCCTCTGAGAGGGGGTCCACGCCCCACCTGTGCTACAGCTCCTTTGAAGAAGAAGAACAGGCTTCGGAGATGGCGGGTGCAGTCTTCCTGCTCTGGGAGGGAGAGGACCCTGGAGGGGATTACGCTGCTCGAGACCTGTGCAAACAGGGCCTGATGGTGAAGCCACAGAGCTCATAAATCAGGCTCTCGGCTTGTTTTGCCTCCTGGTCCTTCCATGCCGAGTTTGAGCGTCAGGTATCTTGCAGGCTCTGGGCATTGCAAGAAGCTCACCATTTGGCTCTGGAGACAGTTTTATAGGAGTGTTAGCCATAAGCAAGTTCTACTTTTATAATAAGATAAAAATGAACATTTTTTTAAGAAAAAATCCTGTGATACAACATGATGTTGTGTAATAATAACCCTGATAAGGTTCTGTAGGAATGACTCAGTGTGGGAGGGAAGGGGGCAGGTACTTCTCTCTGGGCAGGTGGTGTGTGCTCAGAGTCTGGAATGATGGAGTTGGGGGGGTCTACACTGCAGAGAACTGGGGAGAGGCCTCCGCCCCCGATGCACCACCCGACAGACAGGCCCTGGGGAGGGCAGCAGGACCGGGGCAGGGCAGGCGTCACACTGCAGCTGCCCCTCTTCTTCTGCTTGTAACAGAACCCCCGAGTTTTACTATCGTATTATTTGGCTCGGGCCTCCATTACAGCCTGGGCAGCTTAGACAGCAGACATCGGTGGTCTCCCAGTCCTGGAGGCTGGAAGTCCCAGATCCAGGTGTGCGCGGGCTGGTTTCTGCTGAGGCCTCTCTCCTGACGCCGTCTCCCTACTGTGTCCTCACGTGGTCGTCCCTGTGTGCGTGTCTGTGTCCTAATCTCTTCTTATAGGGACTGCAGTCATACTGGATTAGGGCCCACCTTTGTGACCGCATTTTAACTTAATCACCTCTTTAAAGGCCCGTCTCCAAATGCAGTCACTTTCAAAAATATTTCTACTGTTGAAAAATAGCCACACTCTCAACTTTGGAACTTAGGAGCAATAATAAAAAGAAAAAATGTCCCAGATTCCTACATGAAAGCATCCAGAGAAACCCACTTCCTACACCTGAACCAGGGCCGACAGATCCACCAAATACAGACACAGCTCCGGGCACCCAGCCTGGGGCACACTCACTCTGCCCACAGAGTGACTGGCATCCTGTGTTTTAGCTGGCAGTCCTATCCTGCAAGTGCACGAAGCCCTGGTGACCCAGATTTCTTTAAACAAGAGGTGAGAAGATCTTTTTCCTTGAGAATTTTCTTAAAGAGGCTCTTCATCAGGAAGCACAATAAGGTCCTTTGTTCCTGGGCTATTTCCTGTGACATCTTCTAACAGCCTGAGCCCTGACCTGCCTCTGTCACCCTCCAGAAGTCGACAGTGCCCTTCGCCTTAGATGAAAAGAGGTCCCACTCTGACCCCGACTTCAGGGCAGAGCCTTGGGGACTTACTAGAGAAGTGGGGAGGCGTGGGGCCCCCCAAGGCTGGTGGGAAATGTTTTGAATATAAATATCACCGGTCTAGACTAGGAACCCAGTCTTTAGAATATTAACTTTAAAATAAATACTCAAGGGGCCAGCCCAGTGGCGTAACAGTTAAGTTCACACGCTCTGCTTTGGTGGCCGAGGGTTCTCAGGTTCGAATCCCAGATGTGGACCTATGCACCGCTTGTCAGGCCATGCTGTGGTGGCGTCCCACATACGAGATAGGGGAAGAGGGGCACGGATGTTAGCTCAGGGCCAGTCTTCCTCAGAAAAAAGAGGAGGATTGGCAACAAATGTTAGCTCAGGGCTGATCTTCCTCACCAAAAAAATATATATATATATATTAAAAATAAATAAGTACTCCAAGCTGGAGTTAGGGTTGTGTCAAAATTGTGTTCAAACCCAACAGCACAAACTTCTAAGGGATTTCTTTGTTCAATCAGTCGGTCAACCAAATTTATTCAAGACCACTATGGTTACTGTCAGGGTAAAAAAATAAATTTTTTTTTTTTTTTGAGGACGATTGGCCCTGGGCTAACATCTGTTGCCAATCTTCCTCTTCCTCTTTTTTCTCCCCAAAGCCCCAGGACGTAGTTGTGTATCATGGTTGTAGAGTTGCAGCTCTTCTATGTGGCATGCTGCCTCAGCATGGCTTGAT